CCTTTTTCCATGCACTTAGACATCCTTATAAGGAATATTTATTCATAACTTTCATTTTTTAATTATTATATTCTCATATAATGTTGCAGAATTAGGCATCTCTTCATCATCACCAGGCATAAGTCGAGGTGCATTGGTTGGCATCATACTGGGGACCTTTGGTGGGGCAGTTATATTGTCTGTAATTGTTTCACTTATTATCTTGAGAAGGCGCCTGAGGAAATACCGTGCAGTTGCAAAACGACGTCAGGGTGAGTATCTTAAAATTCAGAAGATAGTATGTGTGAGGAGATTGACTGTATTACATATCCATGTATTGGTTTTATTCATTTCCAGAGTGCTTGTCCATGCAGATGTTACTCAAAAATAAATGTTGATGCTCTTATGATATTTGTCTATGCGTCTTTCTTTTGGGATCATTTTGGATTCAAGTTGCTGTAGTAGAACACTTCCTTTTATCCAAAAGCATCATACTCATCATCTCCTAGACATTTTTTTTGACAAGTCCTATAAATTTTTCAGGGGAATAAAAGGAAAGAAAAGGGCAAATGGTTTTTAACAGCTCTAAGTTATTTTTGTTTTAACATTTAGACATGTATTTTCTTACAGCGTCCAGAGCCTCATTAAAAATTGATGGTGTGAAGAGTTTCACATATGGAGAATTAGCCTCAGCAACAAACAATTTTGATAGCTCTGCTCAAATTGGCCAAGGTGGGTACGGAAAGGTTTATAGGGGCACTCTGGCTGATGGCACTGTTGTGGCCATAAAACGTGCACAAGAGGGGTCGTTACAGGGTGAAAAGGAGTTCCTAACTGAAATACAGTTGTTGTCAAGGTTACATCATCGGAACCTTGTTTCTTTGCTTGGTTATTGTGATGAAGAAGGTGAACAGGTACTTTTTCTCCTTTTTTTTTTTTTTCGAAGGATAAAATGGAAATGATGCAATTACATTGCTTATCATCTGGCAAAAAGCTTCACATCCATTACTGTCAACAGATGTTGGTGTATGAGTATATGGCCAATGGCACCCTGCGGGATCATCTTTCAGGTACACCTTGCATTCTTCAGTTCAATTTGCATTTTACGCTAGTAATCCAAAATCACTGTTTCCTTTCACCTCAAATTCTATATGCAAACATCATGTCCTTCGTATAATGTTGCATGTCTATGGTACCACAGGAAAGACTAAAGAACCTCTGGGTTTTGCAATGAGGTTGAGAATTGCCATTGGTTCATCCAGGGGAATCCTCTACCTACACACAGAAGCTGATCCTCCTATATTTCATCGGGATATCAAGGCCAG